GTGTTATGTTGCAGCACGGTGGTGATGTTAATGCGGCGGATAAGTTAGGGCAGACGGCGTTGCATTGGACGGCTGTTAAGGGCTCCGTTGATGTTGCTGACGTTTTACTGCGAGAGGGAGCTCGAATTGAAGCTGCTGATTTGAATGGGTATAGGGTAAAATCTTTTCTTTTTTTTTCCTCTTTAGTGGAAACTAATGTCTATAGTATGTGGCAAAATTGGCGTGTAAATGGATCAGTATTTATTAGTTTGGGTCGTGCTTAGGGGGCGGCCTTGAGATGTTGGGGCTGTAAGGGATTTAGTGAAGATTTTAATAAAAAGAATATTATATAAATTTTGAGGATTTATGTCTATATAATTTTCTTCAAAATATTTGGAGGCCATAGGCGGCCAATGTGTCATTTGGTTTTGTCCAGGACCGGTCATGTTAGCTCAGATGAACATGTTTTTTTTGGTGCAGGCAGTGCATGTTGCTTCTCAATATGGACAGACAGCCTTTTTGAATCACCTTATTGTGGAATATGCAGCTGACTTTAACGCACTAGATAATGGAGGGAGGAGCCCGCTACATTGGTATGACTATATACAGTGTGTGTATATAGCCTTTAACATTGGTCAATTGTTTTTGGAAATGCATAAACTTTTTATTGGCGCGTTGTTTTCATTAATTTCCCCAAATAGATGTTGGAATGTTGACATTTGGCATACATTAATGAGATAATCATTGCTTGTTATTTTTTCTTTTGTATCTTAAGTTTATCTGATCATTGTTTAGTTGCACGTGGTACTCTGTTACTTATCATTGACAATTTAAGATGAATAGCTAGTGAACTTGTATTTTTTTTTTCTGGTATGGCTCAGGGCTGCTTACAATGGATTCACGGAAACAGTCCGGTTACTTCTCTTCCGGGATGCCTGTCAAAATAGACAAGACCACACAGGCAATCACTTTTTAAACTGTATCTATTCGCTGCTATAGATTTTCAAAAGAATTATTTTACTACCGAATATTTTTTGAATCCAAGGTGTAAAGATGTGATCTATTGTTAATATCTTCCTGTGTTTCATCTGCTTACTCTTATAATTAGATGAGTGAACATCGTTTTACCTTTCATGTGCAAAGATAAATCTAAAACTGGACAAGACTTTCTGAACTTCGGTCACTGTGTGCTGATAAATTGTATATAAAGAGATTGTTATCGCATTCCAGACTGTTTATGACTTGCAAAATATGTAGAATTTTGATACGGTGATGTATATTTTACTTCAGTTTAAAAACTCAGAAGTCTTACACTGATCATTTTGCTAGTTAGGTTGCACTCCTTTGCACTGGGCCGTTATCAAGGAAAATGTTGAGGCTTGTACTCTGCTAGTTCATGCTGGAACCAAGGAAGAATTGATATTGGAGGATAACACTGGATCCACGCCACTTAAGCTTGCATCTGATAAAGGTCACAGGCAGCTCACTCTGTTCCTTGTACGTAATGTTTAGTGTTGCTTGCTACCATTCGATAATTTACATTCTGGTTCTCTCCTTGAATCAATATCTCCTTATTTTATGTTCTTCATTAATTAGTGATTACTAGGTAAAGAATGCTATTTACAAACATCCAAGAAAAGAGTGTTGAACATAGTTTGATGTACATGTGGTTGTAAGTGTACAGTTAATATTTAAGCCTCAAACGCAAAAAACAAGGCAGTGTTGTGATATTTTCTTTTCATATGTAGTTCTAAAACCAGACTTTTTTACAATCCTTTTCTTCATTTGCTCTGACTTTAAGATATAGTGAAGTATCATTTCGGTAGAAAACATGTTCCACTCTCAGGTGTAGGGCCACCGTGTATTTTAGTGTTCACAGTATGAGAGATACCTTTTAAATGGTGGTAGAATGTGTTAAATGTTGTTTGCGGCCACTGTTGTTTTTTTGTAATAGTTTCCATTCATATGATGTTCTTTTTGAGATTCCGATTTTCTTAATATTGTTTCAGTCGAAGGCAATGCAAACTCGTAGTTATAGTTTCGCAAACAAGATCTTTTGTGGAAAATTGGGGGAGACAAGCTATGCTCCTATGCTGTTCTGCTTAATAGTGACTGAAATGGTCCTCTTCTTCACATCCATTGTCGCAGGTGAATGTCTCATGCAACATGATGGATGGATAGAATATGCTTTTCTTTTCCTACTATTGATTACATAATTCTACCTGATATTTTGCAATTGTGTGTAGCTTCGAACCTCCCTAAGATAACTGCTACGCTTGGGCTGTGGGCATGGTTCGGTCTTTCATGTGGCGTTTTCGCACTGATAGCTTTCCGTCGTTGTAGCAGGTATCCTTATTGTAACTATACTCTGTTAAGCCAATGCCAGTGCCATATTGCGTATATTTTTGAGTTTGGTGTAGTTACTGGGATGCTATGATTTATATATTACTTGTGAGGCTGTAATTATTATTTACTCCTACATATAATTTATATTACTTGCAATACTCTTGGAATTTTTAATAAGGTGTTTGCTCTGTACAGAAAAGATCCCGGATACGTTAAAAGACGCAATGAAGTTGACAGCGATCACACTACCAACGTGAGTTTAACTTCCTTCTCTTGTTTCTATGTCGATAAAATCCGAACATTTTGAGTATAACTGTTTCTTGCTTGATTTAAGTAAGCACGAATTATATATCAAATTTACAGTCATTAGATGTTATTCTGAGAGGTTTGATTGGTGTTTGCAGGATCCTTTGATTGATATCAATTTCAACAGCCCCTCATGGAAAGGAAACTGGTCCCAACTCTGTCCCACTTGCAAGGTTTTCCTCAGAATCCATCTATATTGTGGGGAAAATCGCATTTGCTCTATTTTCATACTACCATTATCACATTTCTTCAGGTAATTAGACCGGTACGATCTAAGCACTGTCCTACTTGTAAACGCTGCGTTGAGCAGTTTGACCATCACTGCCCTTGGATTTCAAACTGTGTTGGTAAGGTAACTTTTCTTCATTACCCGCGTCTCTCTGAGTAGTCGTTATGCAAATTAATTGCCAAAGATGAGGTAGTGAATGACATGAAACATCCTTTAATGCGTATACCATTTAATCATCTCGCAGAAGAACAAACGAGACTTCTTAGTTTTTGTGATCATGGGAGCTTTAACATCATTCGTTGGTGGCTCTACTGCTGTTCAAAGTATGGACTAAAAACAACTCTTTCTCTTTAACTCCGCCGTGAGATTAATGTTATATTCTAAAGCATCTTCTGTTTCTGTAAATAGGAATATGGAGAAGCGTCCCACATATACACCCCAGTGACTCACTGATTCAACATTTACTCATCGAACATCCCGGTGCTGCCGTGTTTATGTTCTTCGACTTGCTTATTTTCATTGCGACAATGACGTTGACAATCTCACAGGCTTATATGGTGAAAACTCTCACCTCAAGTAGAGATTTTACTCCCCTCCTCTCTGGAAAAGATTGTTTAACAGCTGTTGTCGTTATTGTCTGTTGCAGATTGCTCGGAATATTACAACGAACGAGTTATGGAACACGAAAAGATTCAGTTATTTGCAGGGACCTGATGGGAGATTCTACAACCCTTATAACCATGGCTGGCGAAGAAACTGCTCTGATTTCTTGGTTCATGGCTACACGAGAGACGACGAGGTTGTCCCATCTTCAATTCTCTGAGTTACATATTTTCTACACATTATTACACATAGGCGTACACATCTGGATTCAGTGTACTGTGTATATGGATGGATCTCTCCTCGATTGATATTGTTCCCAAGAGGGAGCGAGTTCCTTGTCCTTATAATCTTTAAAGCCATGAATTACCCAGTATTTAATCTTTTCCAGTTTCAACCACAATGCTACTTAAACCCCTTGTTCTCCAATCTTATTCATTGGTTGTATTAATGCTTATTAGGTTCCAGTTTATGATAATTGTGTTTATGATAATTGTCTGTCCGACGGGTTTGTGGTTGAGCTTAAGACGTGCCTAGTGTTTTTTTTATTTATAATGCCGTAGGTGGAGGACTACAACAAATAAGCAACTCTATGCCATTAGAATGAAAAACCAAAAGAAACAAAAGGAGTGGGCTAGAAAGTAGTATCCGTAGACAGCCAACATTGCGAGACCTTAGTTCAAGACTGATTCCTTTTGCAGCAAACTTTGAAGCCATATAGGACAACCATGTGCAGTATAAGATTGAAACCTATGGTCACTAACGACACTCTGCGATATGGCACTAACCACTGAATTCCGGGATGCATTGATGTATAATAGGCCAAACTCAATCACAAACATTAACATAAAACGAAAAAGAAGAATCTAATGGTTAATAGATATATTTCATCATTCTATGTAGAATAACGTAAAATGTAATTTTGCTCTGCACAAAAACATCACATGTATAGTTATAGGTTAAACTTCATTAAAACAAATTGCATAACTTTAGATGTGTAATAGGTCAAACTCAATTACAAACACTTACATAAAATGGAAAAGAAGAGTCTAGTGGTTACTCTAGATATATTTCATCATTCTATGTAGAGAATAACATAAATGAAAATTTTCTCTGTACAAAACATCAGATTTATAGGTAAAACTTAATTAAAAACATTTTTTTAGTGAATTATCATATGTTGAAAACATGTAAATAGTGATGCATAACTAATATTCCATCCGTTTCATTCAAGTTGTCATTTTAGATTTTTGCACATATATTAAAAAATGTATTTTATATATTCACTTTTCGATCAATGAAAAAATAGAAAAATAAATAAAATTAAGAAATTCTGCATTGAAAATATAAAATGCCACTTACTTTGAAACAATTTTTTTCTAAAATGACAAATAAATAAAAACCGAGGGAGTAGTACATATGATCCAAATGATAAATTACACATTTTCATAAACTATAGTTTTCATACTATACATTTAATTTAACCACGGTGTTGGCAAATTTTTTTTACTTTATATAACTTTAATTCTGGTTATTGCTAGCAAGTTTCTTTAGATAAAAAAAAACAAAAGGATTGTTTAGTGAGAGAACCCAATCTCGGCCATAGTTAAAGAGCTTCGGATCTTCAGAGTGATCCGCTACACACTGACACACATCCGCTAAAAATTTAGCCATGGCTACGACTCAACCCAGCAAACTCTCTCTCTTCCCTCTACTCTCCCTCCTCTGCTTCACCTCCATTTTCCTCCTCCTCTCCCTCTCTAAACGCGCTTCCCTCTCCTCCCCTTCCACCCACCCATCCGCTCGCACCGTCTTCCCCCCTAAACCCGACTCTTCCCTCCGCACCACCACCTGCGACCTCTCCCACGGCTCATGGATCCACGACCCGAACCCCAGATCCGCTAGATACGATAGCAGCAGCTGCAAAGAGATCTTCAAAGGATGGAACTGCGTCCGTAACAACAAAACCAACGGCCTCGAGATCTCCAAGTGGCGTTGGAAGCCTAACGACTGTGATCTCCCTCCGTTTGATCCTCTCGTGTTTCTAGAAACTCACCGAGATACCAACATTGGTTTGTACACCGATTTTTAACCACACTCTTTAGGGTTTGTAAAAAACAATCTCTTAGGGGTTTTTTTTTGGAACAGTGCAGGGTTTGTAGGTGATTCTTTGAATAGGAACATGTTTGTGTCTCTCTTCTGTATGTTGAAGAGTGTGAGCAGCGGTGATGTTAAGAAGTGGAGACCGGTGGGTGCAGATCGTGGATTCACTTTCTTGCGTTTTAATCTCACCATTGCTTATCATCGAACCAATCTCTTGGCACGTTATGGTAGGTAAGCTACGTTAGTGTTCCTATCCTTGTTTTATGTTTGAACAGTTTTTTTTTTTAATAACCCGGGCGGGCCAACTCACTAGTCGGGGCATGTTGACCCGGTTACTGACAATGAGAATTAGATATCCATGTCGTCTGGCCACACGTGTTTAGTGTTGTGGGTTTGATTAACTCGGGTCACTTAACTCACTGGAATTCGCCTACCATTAGGCCACCCATGGTTATGTTTGAATAGTATTCCCCCCATCAGTTTTGAGTGTCTGGAACTCTTTTTTAACGCTTATGTGTGTCTCTCTAATCAATTATAGGTGGTCAGCTAATGCTAATGGTGGTGAGTTAGAAGCTCTTGGATTCAAAGAGGGATATAGAGTTGATGTTGATGTTCCAGATAGCTCATGGGCGAAAGCTCCAAGCTTCCATGACATTCTCATTTTTAACACCGGGCATTGGTAGTTTAATAACCCTTCAATCATTGAATTCAATCTCATGGGTGAAAATATAGCCTTGTTATATCTGTTAGATGATACTTTAGTACTTAGTTTGTCATCTGTCACTTAAACAAACGTTTCTAAATGTGAATATGAAATGTTATTGACAAATTGTTGTTGTCTTTCTCTTTGTAAGGTGGTGGGCTCCCTCGAAATTTGATCCGTTAAAATCTCCTATGCTTTTCTTTGAAGGCGGTAGGCCAATACTTCCTCCTGTACCCCCTGCGGATGGCCTAGATCGGGTCCTGAGCAATATGGTATACTGTTTTTCTGTGTTATTGCAAGGCAACTTTAGATACTTGATACCACCATTTTGACGACTCTGTAAGGTTATATGTTTACGAAAATGAACATTTGTGCGATGAACTCTCTCTCTCTAACGAAATCCTTTTCCCATTATCAAAGGTTAATCATGTCGAGAAAACAAAGCGACCTGGGGGGATCATTTTCTTCCGGACACAATCACCTAGGCATTTTGAAGGAGGTGACTGGAACCAAGGTGGTACTTGTCAAAGACTGCAACCCTTGTTACCTGGAGAGGTAAGACTTTTTCAGTCAATGTAATATTTGAAAACTGTAAAGGAGTTTTCAACTTAGAAGTGCATAGCCATAGATAACCAAAGTTTTTGGTACCAGAGATGACCTTAGATAATGGAACTGGTAACAAGCAGGATGATGAAAAAACTAGTAATCTGCCTCATCTTTTTATGGTAGGTTGAAGAATTCTTTTCGGTAAGGAACAACGGAACAAATGTAGAAGTTCGTTTGGTGAATCAACACCTTTATAACTCCCTCAAAAGTAGAAGAGGTTTCCACATTTTGGATATAACTGGAATGAGCGAGTACAGAGCCGATGCTCATCCGTCGACGGCTGGTGGAAAGAACCATGATGACTGTATGCATTGGTGTCTCCCGGGCCTCACCGACACTTGGAACGATTTGTTTGTCGCAAATCTCCATAGGATTAAAGTTTTGTAAACCTGAATCACATTCATTCCATTGATTAGTTGGGTCTTCTCCTCTTTTACGTCATAGTTGAAACCTTTCTTTGTGTTGTAAATTATGATGTTTTTATCCACCAAATTCTTCTACATTTCATAATTGATGTTTTTATAAAGTTCTTTTTTCAAAATATAAGATATTTGGATATTGTTGAAAAAAAAAGATATTTGGGTATTTTTATATTCACTTTAATGTTACTGAAACTGTGTAACTAATTAGATTTTACAGTTTTTTTTCTATGAATGATTGAATAACTTTTATATTATATTTTTTTTAAATACTTGTTAGATAAAAGTAAAATTCTTAATTTTTATGCATCTATGTAAAAGATCATTTATTGTGAAATAAAGGGAGTATTAATTTTCTTTTAGACTTGCAACATGCAAACAGTTTTTTAGGTTCAGATGTTCAGAATCTATCCATGGAATTTCCTATTTCGATTACAATTGAACTCGTTTTAAATGCCAACAAATGCTAGCTGGGATCACCAATTGGTGATACCCAAAGAAGTCATTGTGGCAACAGTAAAAATATCAAGATACACTAGGAAAAAGAAAAAAATTCACAGTATTGAAGATGATTGGTTGTACTGTGACTAAAAAATTATGACATACGTGATTGGCTATAGATATAGCTATAAATTTACTGATGTAGATTTTTCTGCAAAGATTTTTGATGTAATTATATTGGTTGTAATTATAATTTTTTCCTATAGATATTTTAAATAAAGAGTGATATATATGTTATTTGAAATATGATATTCATAAAATTATTCAAAAATAAATAAAATTTATTTATATTTAAAATATTATAGTAAAAATTAATATATTTTACTATGTTTATCTAATTTATTTGATATTATAGATAGGCTTTTTCATTTAGATATGCTCAACCAGAATAATAAAGATCTACGATTTTTGCCTAATCTACATACAAAAAGTTTCATTATATTTTGTAGTTGTAATTTTAGAAAAAGTTAAATCATGATTGGAAAAATAATTAGTAAACAAAATTTAAATCACGATAGGTAAGATTTGATGATTTAAAAATGAAAAAAAAAAGCTAAAGAAGTGAGTTAAAGCCCAATCAATCACCCACAATGTTTAGTCGCAATGATAAACTGCTGGGGTATTAGACACAATGACTGCAGGGACGGCATACTCAGATCCCTATGATAGACTACTCATCACCTTTCTTAGGATCGTTTTGCTGGTGGGTAACTTACCATAATCATTCATCTAATTCACAATAGTAAAGACCCTAATCAAGTATTTTTTTTAAAAAAATTTCTCATTTATAGAATGAATTTCAAACTTTTGACGTAAATTTTGTAACTTTCCCTGATCACCTTTTGTGCTCTCATATAATCTTTCTTCAGAATCACTCATATTTCATGAGTTGTGTTTATTTCAGAGATTCTGGAGAATATATATCTTCATCCATGTCGACTGAATGAAAATAGTGTATTTGCATCTTTATTTCGTTTCTCTCTAAGAAGTTGATCAGGGTCTTCTAGGTTCTCATCTTCAAAATCAGTTCCACCAATTCTCATAATTCATGTGATCAGTACATCGTCTTCATCTTGAAACTCCATAGATAATATCTTTCTCTTTTGAGAATTGGAACAAGGGCCTACATAATTGAATTATCGCTCACCATAGTTTCTTCTTCTTTTTCTTCTTAAAAAGGATTAAAACCTGAAAATTGATTTGTTCTGATACCATAATTGCTAAGAAGTTTCAACGAAAAGGCAAGCTGAATATTACGTTAATTTTAGAATGTTTGAGAAACAAATTATAAAATACCAACTATATTTAATAAGAAGATAATTACCCATTAACCCATGATATAATATATATATATATATATATATATATATATATATATATGTAAGAAGCAACTCACCTAGCCTTAAGCCATATATCACTTACTTCCTAAAATCTAGTCACTCTACAAGAAAATATAGCAATTTCTGATGGAATTTCTGACCGAAAACTATTCGTTGGATTTTTTGGACGAATTTCTGACGAATTTAAAATTTTACCTTTTGTTGGTATTTCGACGAAAATATCCTAGGAATTTCGGACGGAATATTTTTTCTTGGAATTAATTGACAAAATATCGATGATTCCCGAAGAAGACTAAACGAATTAGGCTATAGTTTGGGGTTTATGTTTTCGTCGGAAATTTTTGATAAAATTCTGACGAACTTTAAATTTTTGTAGGAAACTAGTGAAAAAATTCTAACGAATTTCCGATATTTTCTTTTTGTTTTAGAAACGGAATATTCAAAACTAATGTTAAACTGAATACCTACAAGATCACCGTAACATATATTAAGAGATAAATATGATGTGGGTTTAACAATACCTCAATTACTTAAAACTATACAATATACATCGACGAATACATAACATTTCTCATTAACATTTATATACTTAAGCAATTACTTTACGCTGATCCATCTTACAATCTTAAATTTGTGTGTTTTCATGTGTGTTCAAACATTTTGAAGATTATAAACCCCTAAAAATCATCAATTTATCATCAGTGGCTACAAACGATCTATTTTTTATATCTAGACATTCTTATACATAATTCGTCGGAAATTTGTCAAACATTTCTGACGGATTTCTGACAAATATATTTCTGACAAATTTTCGACGAAATTGGTGTTCCGACAAAATTTGTAAATTTAGAAATGAGTTAGTTTTTGGATTTTACATGTTAGATTTAAGATTTGAATTTTTTTTGTTTTTTTTTTTATGTTTATTACTTTTTCTGTTGTTTTAAAACATTTTTGTGAATTTATAAATGTTTAAAGCTTATATAAAACATTTTATTTTTTTAGAAATTTTCTAAGTTTTTATAATATATAAAACGTTTTAATGTTTTAAAATTTATAAAAAGTATTTTTCACTTTCTAAAAATGTTTTCATTTTAAAAATGTTATAATTTTTCTTTAGATTTAATAAAATACAAATTATAGGAAGCATTTTCATTTAAAAATTGTTTTTTAATTTATAAAAACGTTTTTACTTTTTTATAAAGTATTTTTAACTTATAAAATGTTCTAATTTAAAAAAAAAATTAAAAAATTATTTTTTCACTTCTCTGTAAATTATTTAATTCATAGAATCTTGCAATTTTTTTTCTAAATTTTTGTTGACGTTTTTTTAAATAATTATATTATAAATTAAATAATTATAATATATGTTATAAACAATTATATTTTTTTTTATTTAATGTAATGAATTAATGTTAATTTTATATTTTTAATAAATTTGTTATATTTTTTATATTTATTTAATTATCCGTCAGAGTTTCGTCGGAATTTTTTTGGTCGGAAATTTGTCCATCAGATTTTCGTCGAAATTTGTATATTGAAATTTTGTCAAAAAATCATCAGACGTGCAAGGAAATTCCAACAAACTTTTTTTCCAAAGAATTAGAATTGAAAAACTTTGTTGTCTGAAATGAAGAATCTCTGACGAAATCCCCCGTAGAAATTAAACTGTTTTCTTGTAGTGTTGATGGAAAAATCTGCAAAGTATTTGTGTTACGCAAATTGCAAGGTTTTTACAAAAAAAAAGGTTTTCTCGCAAAATTTGTGAGGCAATTAGATCTGCGAGTTAGTACTTGCGACTGTTTTGCATGCCTCCGAAATCTCTCCATTATGGGATTTGCTAGGTTTCTTCGCTCGTAAGCCTCTTTTCTGTTAGTTCAGTGGCTTCATTTAAAAAAAAACTTATGTTTATTAGTAACTAGGGTTAGCCCATTCTACGGGCGGGATGTATTTTACTTGTGATTTAGATTACTATTTTTATATGATTTCATGGCTTGAATCTTAGGTTTGCATTTGCAAAAATGTATATAATAATTATTTTTATCTTTTAAAAAGTTTTAGGTAAAGAAAAATCATATATGGTAAAATATATTTTGCTTGTTTATAATAGTTGCTTTTGTATTGAAAAGTTATGGTATTGGTATGCTGTGAGAGCTTCAAATGATTTTCATATTGTTTCTTTTTTTGAAAAAAAATTGATCAAATATTAGATGTCGAAATAGTTTTTTTCTAATATTAATTCTGAATATATATTAAGTAAAAATTTTCTTAATAACTTTTAGAGTCATCGGTCTGAATTGAATGGTTATCGAATATTTTAAACTCTTTGTTACAAATGAAATTAAAAGAAAAGAAAACTTGATCATATGTTCAAAAGAATCCTGAACAGTTATCCATCATGGAATTTATGTGTATAACCTAGTAAATTATAAAGTTTTCTTTTTTAGAAAAAAAATTCTTTTAACTTTTCTATACTGTCTCCAAGCATTCCACTTTTGATTGTAGTAACGATTAACTTCAATTGATAACCGAGATATATAACTATGTTATGTATCAAAAACAACTTCTTCACATAACCGGTTGAACAAATTCGCAACCTCAGCATCGCTCCGTAGCCAATGTTCAACTAGGTGACTCGCCCGCGCGCATGCGCGGGATTAACATATATTGACATATATTTCTCATGTTCTACATAAGTGTGCAAAGGAGCACACTAATTCTGTAATATGTTTCTTATGTTACTCATGTTCTTCTCTAAGGTTTTATTAAAGGTTAAAGTCTTAATAATACTACATATAATTTCTTTTGGATGTAATGAATGAAATGTAGATAATAGGTAGAAAGTGTCAAGTGTGCAGTGTTGTGTCAAACATTTGGAGTTTAATATTTTGTCTTCATCTCGGGTATTCTGTTCACTATACCCGACACTTATTGCTGGTAGAAGCATGCTTCTAAAGCAACAGGTTTCTTTTGGAAGTGAAATGACAATACTATATGAATGAAGTTAAAATAGGCCTTCCATGTGTCCAGGCTAACTTCATGTGCTATCACATCTTTTTCAAATAAAGCTCTTTATAACTATCTCTCATTCTTTGAAAACGTATAGAGCAATTATTTCATTGCTTGCAACAAACGAACCAGGAAAAATATATACTATTTTAGATAAAAGTTCCAAAGGCAGTTCGGGGAAGATGGAATCTGAAAGTTCGGTGAAGAATTACAATACAAATGATCACACCGGTGAGAGCTCTGAAGACTCAAATAACTCAAGTTCTGATTCAAAAAACTACTTCAAAAACCTCAGCCTTT